GTCGATTTTGGCTCGAAAGTGAAGCGTTGTCGCTGTTATCGTCTGCAGGCATTGCATCGAGGACATGCGATTGCATGAATTCTCCTTGGTTTTCCCTGTATGATCGAGGTGGTGGGCCACGCACTTTCATGCTGCGACGCGAGATGGCGCCACCTGTGTCGCCTGGCTGACCCATGTCAGGGCGACCCTGTCGGCAACGTCCTGAGATCGTGCTCGAAACTTATGTGTGATTCGCTGTATCGCCTGCAGAGGTACATTCCGAAGTGGTCTTTATTCAAGTCATAACGGAGGTACTTGTATGATAACCCCTTAGGATCGGTGCATACTTGTAAAATTGGGAGAGACTGGTAACCATAAATAACCCAACCCTCGTTTACCGCACTACCTCTCAATCTATCTGTTCTACTTGATAACGGCGGAGCTTCGGTCTGCATCGAAGGCCTAAGAGAAAGGAGTTGCAGCACACTCTAACTCCCCCTTCTCTTCAAGCAGCGAATGCGGCCCATTGAGCCGTGGAGGGAGCGGACCAAGACGAGTTCGCCGTAAGACCTAAGGTCTTACGGCCGTAAGGTAAGGTCAACGAGTGTAGGTAAGGTAAGGTCAACGAGTGCGTCCTGAGACGAAAAGGGAAATACAACTTGTCGGCGACGAAACAAGTTGCGACGGATTGACAGGTCACACTCTTAATTCCTCGGGTTGACCGTGAGTGGCATGAGTGAATTGCGAATGGGTGAGGGAATTTAATCAGTCCTCATTTTGGGGTGAGAAAAGCCACCTCGGCCATGTTCAAACTGAAGGTCCCGAGTCCTTCTGGTTCAAACCGAAGATCCCGAGTCCTTCTGGTTCAAACCGAAGGTCCCGAGTCCTTCTGGTTCAAACCGAAGGTCGCAAAAGTGATTATATCTTGCAGCGGAGGTCGCTAAGTGGTCGCTACCTCCCAAAAGGAGGTCTCAAAGTGGGCGCAGGCGTACAGGGAGGCAAATCCCTTTTGCTTCTACAGTTCTCACCAGACAAGTCGAAGAATTTTCTGCATCAGAGACTTTTTCCCGGGGTACTCACCCCCCTCATTGTGGGCAAGATGAGATCTGCATTTTCTGTTACCACCCTTGGGAGTCTCATCGTCATCTTACTTTCAATTTTGACGGTTTAGGAGTCGATGGTGGATTCGAGCATTCCTCGACGTTCGCTATCAAACATTCCCCATTTTTCGCCCATGTTGACGTTTTTGTAGATCGCGAAGATAGGAAGAGTTTCTTCCATTATGAAATTGCCCTGGATAATAGAACGCATTGGGCAATAAATTGCACCGTTCCCCGATCATTTTCATGTCGGAATTGAATCTATGGACGATTACGTGCCCTTTCCCATTTCAGATTTTATCCAGCAATAAAAACGGAATCTTCTCCCGACGAGCTTTTCCACCAGGTGCTCGGTCCCTTTCAAAGTATTATTATGAATTTTTTAAATCACTTAATCGAATCATGTGACAAAAAGGGAAGCGAAATGAATGCAAGCTGGTCGGAAAGGGTCTCGTCAGGCGCCCTACATTCTTCGATTCCTCTCGAGAACGCAAACCGTCAGTTGTGGGCAGTTGCAGGTAGTACCTATTAAGAATCTCCTTGCTAATCTGGTCGAACGGATGTACTTGCTCTCATGTCTTCAAGTATGGGTTATAAAAGACCGCGCGAGCGAGCAGAGAGAACAGAGCTTTAAACCTCGAACACGCTGGCGTTCTGTTCGTGATAAGGAGTAATTTACGATCTCATCAGAGCCGCCTACAAAGTAATCGGGTGGACGATTGTTTCAGCTGAGCCCTTTTTCTTCCTCTCTTTCTCCGACTCCTCTTCGACTCCAGTTGTAATCTGAAAGAATCTGGACTTCCTCCGCGAAGGTAGAAGCAAAGGGCTTTCATCCTCTCTCCCCCCACAAGGAACTTTGCCCTTAAACGTTTTCGCAAAAAGGGGCGAAGAATGTATCCGTTAGAGCAATGCTTCTCAACCGGTGTGCCGCGATATTTTCGGAATTACAGGAAAAGGAAGGAAATTGCTGTTTTATTATTGACTTCAGATAAGTGGCCGTTCTCTGAATGTGTCGCACGTTGCCCGCTACTTTATAAGGTGCAATGTCTACTCATAGACTTTTCGTAGCCCTAGGTCACCCTTTCGATGTGTTGATGTGTTTTGATGACCGGTGGAGCAGCTGCAATGGCAGGAAGTGTGAAAGGGTTCGTGTCGAATGTGGAAAAAATCAAGACGTACATGTTGAAACCACACACTGTTTCCTCCATCGCGAAGCTCTCATGGCAAACAACCTGCCGGATGAACTGAAATCAGTTTGGGCTGAAGCTGTAAAGATCTTATCGAATCAAGTCTCGCCTCGCCTCGCCTTTTCCCCGTATTTAGGGAGATGGGGGGGTGGGGGGCATATCAGCAAACCCTACTTTTCACTCAGAGGTTCTCTGGCTTTCGCGAGGCAAGGTCGTGCGAATAATTTTTGAGCTGAGGGACGAGGTAGAGCAGTTTCTAACGTTGTACCACAGATCGCAGCAACGGTCAAACAATTTTCTGTTAATGACCGACCTTTTTGAACAAATGTACCGACTGTAGAGATTCGTAGAAGTGCTTAACTTAGCTTCTTACGTTCCTGCGCCGCTCTTGCACGAATGTATATGCCTGAAGCTAAATGCGTTCAAATCAAAATTTCCGATGTGGAGAGAAGAAATAGGACGTGATTCACTGGACACGTTCAAACGGACCAGTAACACAAAAAGCTGCCGAATGTGGTGGCTGAGCATTTTGACATGCTTCATGACGAGTTTAAACACCGCTTCAAACCGACCAGTATGAAGCGCTGTGACCTGGTTCGCAATCCATTCGCTTCATCCGCGGAGGAATCGGTCAAGGAGCTTTCTCTGAAGGCGAGAGAGGAATTTCTAGACCTCAGGAGTCTCGACCGCACTCTCAAACTCAGGTTCAGCCAGGTGCCACTGGACGCATTTTTGGCGGAAGGAACAAATGAGCCTGGGTGAGGAACTTTGTGTTGCTCTTTCCAGTATGGAGCCGAACATTAAAGAGTCTGTTCCACGAGATAGGTGTGTCACGCTAGTTTCAAATGAAAGTTCGGGCCTTCCGTTTCACACTTGATTGCTTCCTGAAGCTGTTTTAAATAAATCATTTGATTGCACTTTAATCCTTAATGACATTTGAGAGCAGGGTTTTGAAAATGAATGCGTTCATAATCTCTCTTATAGGGTAAATGTAATTAGTGCCTTTCGTAATAAAACTTCAATTTATTTTTTGTTGTTGAAATATTTCAATAATTTCAAATGCACCACGTCGTCGTATTTTGTTCTATCAATGTTGAAAATGTGATTTGTTTCTCTTACTTTCATTGACAAGTGGGTGATGAGAATATCCTACACAATGCGAAATTTGGGTCGGTGTGCCGCGAGGTTCGAGCAAACTCGAAAGTGTGCCGTGACATGAGAAAAGGTCTAGAAGCACTGCGTTAGAGGATGCCACTAACACCTCTAAATTTTAGAGTTGGGAAAAAAAACCAACTCGCAATCCATGTTTTCGGATTTTGTGCGCGCCTGAATAAAAGGCAATTACAAATTCGATTTTTTCATATTCAGGTTTTGCCCGAACGTATTCTGCCTCTCAGGCTGTGACTTTCCATTGCATATTTTTGCATGTGACATTTGCAAAAAACATTACTGATGAGGAAATGACATGATTCCTGAAAGCCAATTGATCTCGTTCACATAGACTTCGTTAATCAATATATAAATTATTGTTTCATGTTCTCAGGCACTTTGGAAATTTCGCTTTTTTGGGGAGAAAATTGAATCCGTCTGCTTATTTGGCATGAGGGGTATCAGCGAAGTCATGATTAGCCGAGAACCAACGGCCACGGTGGGAGATACTGTTCATATTACCTCTACCGCCTCAAAAAGGTCCCGTTTTCATATGTGAATTGCGAGAATGAACACCATCACCCAGTGCAGCATTATCTAGTTCTAGAGAAAGGGAACATACATATATTAGAAAGAGAAAAGCCTATGCAAAAAAATACACTCATCTACTCGTATTCGGACAGTCGCTCATATCGGCGGCCTAATACGAAAAAATTACATCCTTATGATGACGAAAACAAAACGCAATGACATATTTCCAAAAATACTGTCAATACATAACAGTGGACACGATTTCTCTACCTGCTTTAATTCCCGCAATTTATGTGCTGTTAGGCCTCGCACTCGTCAAGAACAACTTCGCTTTACTTTCTCGATTCGCCTCGGATATTGATATCTCCCAATTGTGGCAATGAGGAAGCGAGTTTCCAGGAACAATCCTTGTAAACAGAAATTAATCCACGCACAACATACTTTCTCCTAAATGTCTTCAGGATTCTTCAGGAGAACTCGGGAGTGAAATGACACGGGAAACCATTGCGCACGCTGGACCTTCCTTTGGTGACGCGTTCCATCTGCCCCCAATCCAAATTTCCAGGAAAACGATTAGCGCCTACAGGAATGAACGGACAGGGAAATGAATGGATAGGTTTGGAGTGGATCGGAAGTTTGGAATCCTCGTAATTACAAGTGGATCGGGCGTGTTTGCTCACCGTCATCAAGCACATGCCAGCAAACACTAAGCAAGTGGTGGAGAAGTTGGAAACGTCGTAAACTGCTCCTGACGTGCTCGAACCCACGACTTCTCTGGATAGGGAAAGAAAGAGATGAAGAAAAGGCACATAGAGGGAAAAGAGTTCGACTGCACGGACAGACTACCTTTGAAGGCAGGGTAACAAGGGAAAAACAAAGTTTTTCCCCCGAAAAGCAACCGTCATTGCCATGAATTAAAGGTTTGATGAATATTCATTAAGTATGTTGTAAGATGGCGATGAGTGTGGTTTTTGGAGAAGTAAATTCAGGTTTTTTTTTTCTTTCTTACCTTGCCTTCGAAACTTGTCTGTGCATATTTGATGAGGTAAAATAATCACCCGAGACTAAACATGGAGTTCCAGATGCCGGCCGTGAGTGTCGCCGTTCCGATGCTGTCCTGGTATCCGGCTAACCTGGATTCCCATCGTGATGGTATTTAGTGCAACGCCCCGTTAAGGCTGCGCGAGGGGAATAGGGAATTAATACCTGATTTCGTCATTCATGATTCCGTACGTCGGAATAAAGGTGAAGGCCATGCTGATTCCGATAAGGGCCAGAGACCCTATGAGAAGCCCCAGTGACCTATCATATAAAAAATTACAAAGATGGTTATTAAACAAATGATTGACCACGTCAACGTTACATAATCGTATCACCTCGGAATTTGGAGAAAGGAAACGGGTCCAAGGAGCAGAAATCCCAAGACGTCAACCAACAAGGCGAGCCCCAACTCGACTTTCAGCCACTTCGGGTAGCGGTCGCTGATATAACCGGCGAGAATGCCGGTTATACTGTATGAACAAGTGAGAACCACGTAGAGGAGAGCCGTGTCGGTTTCAGACATTCCAAACTGAAATAACAGAATGAAGCTGGAGTTTTATCGGCAGTTAGTGAGCAATTCTTAATGATGCTTTTAAAATGTGCATTATAGAATGTGGGAGAATATGAGTTATTAAAGTATATGTATCAAGTAATTCAAATTGTTATTATTGTTACTAAATGGGAGATATACGTGGAGCGACACTTCGCTCAATTTCAAATATGCTGCTTACAGACTTTTTAATGTTTGCAGTGGAACTGACACAAAATACATACTCAAGAGTGAAGACGGCCAATGGAACTCACCGCATCCTGCACATGAGGCTGCAGAATGGGATAAAAGGAGCCCCACGCTGCCGAGATGAGAGCGAGAGCGATGCATATGACCCACGAACCGAAGCTTAGTAATAAGGGCTTAATCCCCGGAAGAGACACCGAATGAAAGTCCAGTGCTGCGGCGAAGAGAGAGGAACATTTTCAGAGCATGTTCTGCGCAAAGATCGAGAACCGATTCCCTCGTACCTGAACTGGATGGCAGGACTTTGAAGGAGAGGAAAGAGAGGAAGATCATGACAGATCCCAAGACGAAGAACGGTAGCTTGAATCCCCCCAACTGAGAGCGGAAGGGACCACCTAGCGATACTCAGAAGGGATGTCGATTCGAGAGTCCAGAAACTCGCGGGTTACTTACGTTGAAGAATACGCCTCCTATCATGGGGCCGATTGACAATCCGATGCCGGTGCAGATCTCCAAGGACGCCTGGATGGCAGGGAATTGGTTTCAGGAGTCTTTCGCGTGGTTTTTCGTTTTTTTTTTCACGTTGACTACCATGCCATGCCAATTCGCGAGTTGTTTTGCGACAATATTACAGTCACACGTCGGTCAATTCGACCGACACGGGCCCTATGGCTGATGTCTTTATGCCGCGAAACGAGAATCCTGTTATCAATTTCCACTCAAAATTTGGGATGAGACCCATTCCATGTAATCTTTTGGAAAAGAAGTTCACCTATCAGCATGAATGTATGGCAGTCAACTTGTTATGTGTCACTTGACGTGCTGGTCTTACGAGAAGAATTCCCTTTGATTTCGGGAAAAAGTTGACGATGATCCCGAAGAAGGTCGTGAAATAGAAAACAAATCCGAGCCCTTGGAGGATCCGCAGCATGAAGGCTGCTGTGGTGAACCATATTCGGGTTCCTATTGAATCGAGGAATCTGCAATCGGGGGAAAAAAAAGAATCATCTCTGATCAGTTCCGTTTCAGTTTGCCGTCGAACTTTTTCCGTTCACTTCGGCTAGGACTGAGATGTACGTCATCTTTTTTTTAATTTGAAATTTTTGACAATGAGCCAAAGGAAAATGATAAGAATTTATGCATCCTCTTAGGTACTTAATGTGTTAGTTTGTCAGTAAGGATTTCCATTTCAAGTGATGAAATGTTAGTAGCTCATCCGGCAAGTTTTTTTCTTGTGAATTTACTTATCTCATAAAAAAAAATCCAAAATGTCAGCGCTCCAGCACCAACGGTTCTGGAGATATTCTGGCCCTAAATTAGTTTCTCATAGAAAATGTGACACCAAGGGGCCAACCGTAAGTAAAACGACGTCACATGTTACTTTTGGTTGGCCATGAAAAGAATACACAAAATATGCCCATAAAAAACTTTAACTTCATGGAATTTTACCACCAAGGAAGATGTTAGCACTGAAGGCTCCCGTTTCAGACGATTTAATCTATGGATTCGCACCGCTCTGCGCCGTTGGTTTGAGCGTTGCGAGTCGATTTACCCAAAGGGCAAATGAACTTGATAAGCAAATATACATTAACCAAATGTATAGACATAGAACATCTTGGAAATTTTGTTTAATGGGTTGTATTTCCTGGTTTTCTTTTGTTCCAGCGAAAGAAGCATATCACAATCACACATGCTGAAATATCTAGCAATATTTTGCATGTTTCAAAATGAAATATGCATCGCTGCTGATCACATGCAAGGGAACAACCGTTATTTCCACGTATTTCCTCCCGAGGGCAATTTTGGCGGCGACCTTTTCAGATACAATTTTTTTTACCTTTGGAAATTGAACCTGTCCATCGGATGGCGAAAAAATTGCGCATTGTTTGATGAACGAAAAAGAAAAAAAGTGAGCTTACAATGAAACCGAGGACTCATGTATCTTTCCAGCGCTTCATTTTTGGAGCAGCCTTCGATGCGGTAACTTTTCCTTTTTTGATGTATGGGGCATGATGCAATCATGATGCAGCAATGTCGTGTTCAGTTAATTTAAGCAAAATTAACAATACTGTAAAAATAACGCAGCCATAGGAAGCAGTGCGTAAAGCGAAGAAGTGAAAAAGTGAAATTCTCTCATTGCAATTTCCATGACTCCTTATCCGAGACACCTGAATAAAATTCCTGAAACGAATTTCCAAGCGATTTCTGCACTATGCAAAAATGACAAATCGAGAACTCCTATGATTTGTTTAATGAAGCCTGAAACAGGATGTTTTCACCAGCCGATGAATAACAATGATGTCGAATGGAAAAAAAACTGCTTTTAAACTGCAGATTTCTTCATCTTTCCCTGAATCGTTTAAGCTGGGAGGTCGACGTTTCCGAAGGAATTCGGGAAGAGAGGACGCAGAATGCAAAGATGGTCGGATCGAGCGCAACGGATGGTGCTGGAAGTGGGAAGTGTGCCGCGCGGTAAAAAACGCGGTTTGCTCTCGACCGAATGGAGTGATGCGGATGGGGTGGTTCGTATGTGTTCGATTTGACGATAGGCGTCACGTGTCTGACGCCTCAGCAGGATTTTGTCCATTGGAATGTGAGGAGGGGTTCACCCGCTTTCCTATGGGATATTTCCTCATTGTTGCTTAAGTACTCGTCAAACATCGATTGGGGCCGGTGAAATCATGTTTGCTTGCAGCATATAGATTTGTCGATGTACATCAACTGGGAATTACAACTTCCCAAAGGAACATCATGAAAACAACAATATTTACCTTTTTTAAATAAAATTTTCGACGGAGGTACGGAAGTGACTTCAAGGAAATGTTCGTTGTTCTCAACCTGAATTTCCCGGTATTCTCATGTTAGTCTCAGTTTAGTTAGCATGATGGTATTGAGATCTACTTTCCAATATAATGTTTGACACTCCTCGCGTAGTTGCTCATATGTAGCACTCAATATGTAGTTAAACGAAAAATCAAAATTGATTTTCGACTCACCCGAATGATAAACAGACCCCTCCGGAGAGGAATGTCCCACCGAAGATTGCCCTGTTCAGGCCAATATGCGGAAGCTGAAACATGTATTTCCTCCGTTTCACATGTTTCTTAAACTCCTATTGTTTTCGAATTCCTTCACGAAGAGGTTAAGGACGGCAACTTACGTATTTGCCGACGATCGGTCCCAAGAGGAAAGCGACCAGAGAGAAAACACCGACGATCAGACCAGTCGTCGTGCTACTGACACCCTTCCTCTCCGCCTGTCGGAGTAGCACTTGAATTAACCTGCTCGATTATATGAAAGGTGCTGATGCATGAACTTACGGCAGCGGGGAAGAACGGAACTATGATGGAGAAGGAGGCGAATCCGAAAAGGGCGACCAGGTCACCATAGAGGATCAGGCCTCGTTCTCTCCAAGTGGATTTTCGACAAAATTCGAAGCATCCATGGTCTTCCTCCTTGTTCTCATCGTGCTGCTCCTCCATTGTTTCGCTGACCTTTCCGGGGTTCTTGCCCAGATCATCCATTGCCAGGAATAAGAACTAGTGACTTAGAGCAAAGGAATCAATTTCCTTTTGAGGGCGCGCTCGATACACTGGCAATTTTCGAGTTTATCACAACTACCTTAAGACCTATTTCTAATAATTTATAGGTGAAGCCACCTGGGTTTTTATATCTACCTGTATTCCCAGGGGGACTTAGTAGTAGTTGGGATCGGATATATCCAATCCAACTGATTACAACGCATCTTGAAAGAATCTCAAGCGGACCATTCCCTCCAGTTTCTTAAAATGTTTCGATTGTTATAAGTGGTCCAAACCAAAGGATTATCCTGAATAAGCTAATGATTTCAAATTGTAACTCACAAAATTGTCAATTATTTATTTTGTGAATGAAAAATGCAAATACCGAATGAGAAATGTTTAGTCGGAATTCAGAGGGTGAACTCAGTCACGAAAACCAATATTTGAATAAAAATTCCGTTTTGTTCTTTCTGACGATGTTGAATTTAATACGAAATCACGCCATCCTCCCAACATTTCAAACTTGCCCTCTCCACTCCCTAGCAATTAAACACAGCAAATAAATAGATGCTGAACTTCCATGACTTTAATAACATGCGAACCTCCTCGGAAATTGCGCGTGTTAATTTGCGAAATGTAATAATCCAATAAGGTTAAACCACACTTTAGCATACTTTTAAGTAGCCCACATGTGCAATACATGACACTGCCATTTTGACCCTGATTGTTTCAATTAACTGGACTTTCGATGGAAGCCACAGTTTAAAACGCTAGCTAGGTTAGATCAGGTTAGGTTAGGTTGGTTTCATGTGTTATTGTTGTCTATTTCGAAGGCAACGAATGCTGAGCTCAGGAATAGGAGAAGCATGCAGCTTGCTGGGCAACTTGATGCAAGGAACGGAGCACTCAGGTGTCGAAAGCCGGGGGCGGATGGGAATTGAACCCGGACCTCTTGCTTGCTGGTCAGGTGTGCTATCATTACACCATGGAACTCGGGTCATTTTGTCAGGCCTCTCCATGTCATCTCAAATCACTACAGTCGTTTGTGCAGCGAGCACTGTCAGGCTGTACATTTTGCTCTAGGAATGGGACATTTGTTTCACATTGCTGCCACAACGAAAAAGTGCTTTTGCTGCAACTTACACTTAACGCTCACACTGTTGCTCACTGGTGCTTATGTGTAGGTCAAGCATTTTCAGGAATTACTCATTAGTATTCTGCTGCACGTGCACAACATTTCCTCTGTGCTAAAGTTGAACAAGTTCTTGGAAATAGCCCGTACTTTCTCAGAATCAGTGGTACCTGTACGTATACCTGTATGTGTTATTAGCTAATGCTAATAACACATGAGATAATCGGTGATGCAAGAGTATTCAATGTGCTGGGGAGAAGTTGTGTTGGTGTCTGTCACCGCAACGCGCGAGGCCTACGAGGCTAGATCATTTTAGGCCATAGTCTAGGCCATCCACCACTCAAAGCGCCAGGTCATGGAGGCTACGTTATTCTAGGCCATAGGCGTGGCCATCCAACTATTTTAGCGCTAGGTCCATCGGGCTATATCAGTATGAGCCATAGGCTTCATACTTGGTTGTCAATCAAAGGGTAGTAATAACTGAATGCGTGTCACTTTTTCACTGATTAACTGCAAGTTCTTTATTTAAATAAAATCTTTGCTGAAGTGTTTTTTTCTGAGTTGATTTTTTTTTCGTTAGGTTAGACGTTACGGTTCGCGCCATCGTTTCCATGCAGTAGTTTCCTATTTTCGTTTCATGTAATGGCCGAATTATTTCAGTTCTCATGATTGATGAAGTCAGGATAATAGTCTAAAAAAGTCTGTGCTTCATTTGTCGCGCAAACGAGGTGCACCTCCCATCAAAATGGTGGCAATTTTTGCGAGGTGAGGTTGAACGCGAAGATTAAATGTTGGAGATCCCACAGGACGGCGATGAGGCAGTTGTTGCTGGTAAAAATCGGTTGGTCTGGAACGAAAACAACGTTTGCCACTGCAGTTGCGGTGCGAAGTGCCTAAATCGGTGCTAGCCGTAATGGCTAGAATCAGTGATGAACAGAAAGCAGATGTGCGCAGAAGCGCTTTGACCGCTGAACAGCAAGAGGCAGCGAATGCTGAGCTCAGGAATAAGAGAACCGTGCAGCCTGCTGAGTAATTTGATGCAAGGAACGCATCACTCAGGTGTCGTAGGTCCGTACTGTTTCAGAATCATTGGTGTATGTACCATATGCTAACGCTAATAGCTCATGAGCTAATCGGTGATGCAAGGGTATTGTATGTGCTTGGGAGACGAAATCTTGCGAGGTGCTTCCATCCGTGTGTCGCCAATTTTGATACTCTCATGATGCACACGTTTCTCGTGAAGTAACACTGATTGTAACCCTCATTTAGTATCCTACCTTCGTCAGAAGACGAAAACGAGAACTGTAGGTTTCTGTTTTGACATGACAGTCTACCAACGGGAATATCCGGCTATGGGGCTGCCCCTTCCCTCTTTGAACGGCACCTTAACAACCCATCGGTAGTTTCTCCAGTTAAATGACGACCGAGCTCCGATTCGCATGAGGCGCTTCCATTTGTTGCAAATGCCATAAATTGTGCGGGGAATAGTGACGATATGGCTGGGATACAGCTTTCGAAATTCCTGCAGCATATTACCATTCCATATGTTACCGTATTACCGCATTCCATACGAACACGACTAATGTTATTATATGAAATGACTCTTAACCATTTCACATTTCGCGACAACAATTATCAGCGATTGCAGTCAGTCCAAAAAGGAATCTCCTCATTCGGATCTCCACTTAGCGAAATATCGGCGGAAGAGAGAAAAACTCCATGCACATCCCATTAACCTCCCATTACCATATCTCAAGGTCCCTGAGGTGGAATTCGGAGGTCCGTGGAGCTTCAATGAGATTTCAGCTGCACGGTTTGAGTTTGTTTGTGGTTGATGATGAATTTGTGTGAAATGTGGGAATTATGTGTGTTTGACCCCCAACCCTAGTAGCACATAACATTGAATCAACATTGATTCGATGTTGATTCAACATCCGGATGTTGAATCAATATTGAATCCATGTTGTTTCAGTGTTATGTGCTACTAGGGAATATCCCTATGGGACGAGGGAAAAAAGACAAATCACTCGTTGCGGTAAATTGTCTGAATTGCCTATTTGTCTGAAATACAGAGAAAATCAGGGCTTTCTCCCGTTTCATCTTTGTTTTCGAGAATTGCTCCATGCGGCTGAGCACTCGCGGGATCCAGAGTTAGTGTTTCATCAGCTTGAGACCCCTTCAACGAGAAATGAATTGAGGCATCTTTTTTTCCGATCAGCATTTCTTCCCCCAGTAGTGAAAATTTGCATATTCCAAAATTTCCCTCGTTTTCCAAAAGACTGAATACAGTCGTGCAATATATCGCTTGAATGGTATTTCAGAGATCTGTGAGATGGTTTTTCTCTCATACCGGGTCAGCTAGTCCATTTGGTGACATTCTTTGGATTGCATTTGTTGTTCACCAAGATCAGGGAAAACTTGATTTTCACAAAATAAAAAAAAAATTGTTTTCAAGTTTAATTTCTTATATACAATTCGGAACATCGTATGAAGCCGTGCAAGGCCTTTCTAGCGATATGGTAATGGAAAAATATAACATTCTAGAGATATAGATATCGATTCCTAGTTTATCTCTTATGGAGTGACCTCTTGGAAGCTCAAAAATCTTCATCGGGTAACATTATATCGAATTGCAATTGAATTCCACGACATTATTCTCAAGTAAGAAAGGAGAAAATTTTGAATTTTGAATTCTGCAGCCTGCAATTACAAAATAAAAAATTTTGTACTTACTTATGAATCACCCTGAATGCTGCACTAGGCAGCAAACACCTCACTGCTTCGCCTTCGACTACGATTCGCGTCCTGTTGGTTCTTCACGTTCTGCACGTGGGATGGATTCTGGCCCTTCGTCCGGAGCGAGTCGAAAGGATGACGATTTCATTTCGACAAACTCGTGGGGTTCGCCGTAACATTTCGGAATTAAAAAAGGGCGTGAGAGAGCATCCGATGATCCTCAATTCCCGGACGCCATTCGCGGTCGGGAAAAGGGAGAATACCTAGGATCACCTATAGGCATTGTCACGTTCCGCTGCGAGCATCCTGAAGGATTCATGGATGATTCTTCCCTTCAAGGTAAAATATGCTTAGGCCGAGATAGAAAATTGTGGGATGTTCGCATAATGAAAAAGAAGGACGGCTAAGGTCTTTTGTGCAACCCCTTCATCCTCCCCTTAATGATGGTCGTTTACGGCCTCTTAGGATGCGGTTCTGAACGGGGGTCGGCGGGATGAGGGTCAATGAAAAGGCAGGGCCTTTTTCTAAGTCTCTTCGCTGCTGGGTATGTCGTTCGGTAAGGATTACCCCGTGCATAGCCTCCTTTTATTCTGGAAGTCTGAAATGTTTTCTTGAATTTAACATTTTCAAAACATTTTCGATTTTACAACTTTTGAGCAGCTATGGTTCAAATTCAGTATTTTCAAGTTTAATTCCCTGGGATGTTTGGATGAATGTTTTCTCAGCCTCCATTTCAGTCATTATGAGAACAGTCATCGATGTATCCATCCTCGAGGTATGAATTCATGAAAATAATGGAAATATCGTAACATTCTGGCTTGCAAAAACTCATTTTTCTTGTAGATGAAATGTGAGTCACCTCTCACCAGGGCTTCCACCAGGGACGACTCAAGAGGGCGGTGAACCTAGCGGAAGGACGAGGGAAACAATCGAAGATCATCGATGCATACCATCGAACCTGGAATACTGTTCCGGAACCCGGAAGACCGATCCTCTAGCCTTTCGGAACTCCAAGATGAGATTAATGCGCATCACAATTCGTGATGCAACCCGAGGGCGCTCCACGCGCCTTGGCGTGACATCGATGACACGAGATGGGAAGTCCGAGATGTCCCCTCTTGCTTCTCTGGGTGCA